CCACCTTCACCATCACCTCCACCACCATACTACTATTCTTCCCCACCACCACCCAAGAAATCACCTCCTCCACCATACTACTATTCTTCCCCACCACCACCCAAGAAATCACCTCCTCCACCATACTACTACTCCTCTCCTCCACCACCCAAGAAGTCACCTCCACCCCCATACTACTACAGCTCTCCACCACCACCAGTTAAGTCACCACCACCCCCATACTACTACTCTTCCCCTCCACCACCAGTTAAGTCACCTCCTTCACCATACTACTACACTTCCCCTCCACCACCTACTCCTTACTATCCTCCTCATCATTCCTTGATCGTTAAGGTTGTCGGAAAAGTCTATTGCTACAGATGCTATGACTGGAAATACCCAAAGAAATCCCATGACAAGAAGCACCTCAAAGGTATTACTACACACATTTTCTCTTGCATTATCTTTTGTTTGTGAATATATTATTCTCTTTGCTCGAAATTAATGTGTCTTGCCTGCTTAATAATATACCATACATGCATGATACATGCTTGAATTTGAAGGCACCACCTTATTCGTGCCTTTAGACACTTAAATTTTATTTAACCAACATTATTCTACATTTATTTATTGTGAAAGTGAAGGACTATTAACACTTGATTCTCAAAATGGAAGTGATATTATTTAAGTAAATCTTGTATAGAGAGTTAATTAATGTTAAGGTTGAATTCTTAAAAAATATTTTTTTTATTTATCCCAAGTATGTGGTTCGATCTCCTTACTTTAAAGAATTAGCTCAACTCTTTATTATATTAATTATACATATTCCCCTACATAAAGATGAGAAAGTTGATGAATGCACTAAATATATTTGTTAAACAATGTCTTTAAAACCATTGGAGGAGTTTTCCACAACTGAATATATCACTGAGAAAACATCAAAGTTAAAAGTAAGAAAGCATTTTCACTTAATTATGCTTACCATACAAAAAGCAAACCTGAGATATACATTCATTGATTGTGCAATTATTTGTGGTATACTATACTATGATTTTCTATTACATGATTGTTCAATTATTTGTGGTATTGTATTATATTAAAATATACAATATGGTTTAAAAAAAGTCTTCATTGGCTCACCAAAAGCAGTATTTGGAGACAGATGGATAGATTCTTGACTTTTGAATTTCTTATTAGATAAAAAGGGGAAAAAATATGAATTAGTGGATAATGAACTTTTAATCATGTGCTGGAAGGAACACAAAGTTGATTATTGTAGCTAGTGGGCAAAATAGGCTTAAGATATGTCTATATGACACGTACAATTATTAAGTACTAACTAATTTTTCACACTTGGTATAGGTGCTGTTGTTGAGGTGACATGCAAGGTTGGTGACAAGAAAATCAAGAGCTATGGTACCACTAAGATTAATGGAAAATATAGCATAACTGTTGAAGGATTTGATTATGCCAAATATGGAGCAGATGCATGCAAGGCTAAACTCCACAAAGCACCAAAGGATTCAAAATGTAACATCGCCACAGATCTTCATTGGGGCATCAAGGGTGCTAAACTCAAAGTGAAGTCAAAGAATCACTATGAAGTTGTGCTCTCTGCTAAACCATTTGCTTATGCTCCAAAAACTCCATATCAAGAATGCATGAAGCCTAAGCCAACCCCAACTCCTTACTACTACAAATCTCCTCCACCTCCATCACCAAAATACGTGTACAAGTCCCCACCTCCCCCATCACCAAAATACGTGTA